AGCCTTCACCCAGATGCAGCCACTCCATGGCTATGCAGGACATGGCCTGTTAAGTGGGAGAAGGGTCTCTGGTCCCAGTTCACTGCCCTGACCTTCGGCTCTGCTGTTCAAGCAGCAATCTGGGTGCAAACCCAGAGAAAGGCATGGGGATATCAGAAAAGGAAAGCTGGATCAATGTAAGTCGGAGATGGATGGAAAGGGAACAGCCTGGGGAAGAAATGGCTATGCAGGTCAGCAGTATGGGAGGAAGGAAAACAGAAAAGAGAGATAGGAAAATAGCTGGCAAAATGGGAAGAGGGTGACACTGCAGGTGCAGGAAAGCAGTGTTAGAGCAAGAGATTGTAGGAATACGATGGAAGAAGCAGCAGAAAGACATGATGGGGAAGAATAGAGGGAGAAACTGGGCGGGGGTATTAGGGAAGGGAGCCTGAGAGAGGTAAAGGAAGAGACATACAATCAGTGGTGTGGGAGCAGCAGCAGGTGAGGAAAGCGGCACAAGGCATGTTTGGTCTGTGAGAAGGCAGAATAAAGTGTCTCTGGAACGTAGAAACAACTTTTACCTATAGGAGAAATTTTAGCAGAATAAGTTTGGACTTTTTGTAAGATGTAGAAGAAAAAGTGAGAGATTAGATCCACTATTCCCAGATGCTGCAGTATGCATCTATGTGGTACTCCATAGTGGCAAACAAATAGGACTGAGGCAAAGAACTTAATGTGTTCCAGAAGTGAGAGACAAAACAAGTATTTCTCTTCATCCTAATGGAGAACTGGGGTCCAGAGATGAGAGATAACCTGACCGAGGTCACTCCAGAAGGCTGCAGCAGAGCTGGGAAGATAGCTGCAGGTTCTCAGGCTGTTCTAACTCTCAGCTGCCTAATCTTCAGGAATCTGGCTAGAGACAATACAGCCTGTTATTTTAAAGAAACTCAGATAAAGAAATGTGTATTTTTAAATTGCAAAAGTAATTGTGGCTTTTCTCTCTTCTCTGTTGTTGCATTTTAAGGTGTGCTGGATGTAACAGCCTTGGGCTTTTCAATCCAATAACCTGTGCACCACTCATGGAAAGGAAAACTATGCCAAAACGGCTTGAGCATCTCAGAGTGGTGAACAGCTGTAAAGGAGACTACTGTGCCTATAGCAAAAGCTTGAAGCAGCTTTCTCATAAATCCTACTTTAAAGCATTGTGTGTTAATTTCTCAATAGTATGTGACACTGACTACCTGGAAAATAAAATATGGAGTGTGACAGAATACAAAAGGGCTAAGCTACAGATTCATGAAACCGTTGCATTTTAAACCTCAACAGAGAGTCATATTTTCTTCTATTGTCTAAAAAAACATGTTTTTTTCCTAATTGGTCAAAGTGGGATTAGAAGCTGTGAAAGCCATACACTTTACAAAGCCTTCTGGGAGCTTACAAAAGGCAGATATTTTCATGTACATCATCAGTGGAACCCCAAGTCATGCAGCTTCTTTGTGGTACAAACTAACAAGGAGCTGGAGAAATATGAGCACAGAGCTTCCCCATTTTCTTCAGTTTTTGGACAGTGGAGCTCATCCCTCCTTCTGTGCCACAGTAGGGACACCCTGGACCCCTAACATGAGCCCTTATCGTGGTTCTCCCCCACCCTCTGTGGCTGTTTCTTGGAGTGGAGCAAATGTCAGTCATAGGATCGTAGAACAATTCATGTGGGAAGAGACCCCAGGAGGTCTCAGGTAAAACCTCTTGCCCAAAGCAGAGTCAGCTATGGGATATGGGATCCTACCAGGTTGCTCAGGGCCTTGTCCAGTCCGGTCTGCAGAGTCTCTCTGGGCAGCCTCTTCCACCACCCCACTGTACTCATGGGTAAAAGGTTTCTCCTTATATGCAGTCTGAAATTTTCATTTCAAGTTTTGCTTGTTGTCTCTTGTTCACCTGCCACACAGCACAGTGAACAGCCTGGCTCTATCTTTTTAGCAACCTCCCTGTGGGTTCTGTGGGGCTGCTGCTAGGTTCACACCCCAAGCTTCCTCTCCCCAGGCTGAATAAGTCCTGTTCTCCCACCTCTCCTGAGCAGGGCAAGTGCTTCAGGCCCCAGGCCTCTTGATGGCCCTCCACTGAACTCACTGATTTGTCCATGTCTGCCTGATATTTCAGAGACCAAATCTGGATGCCAGGTTAGATCCCTGTGGTACCATGATTCGTACTGGCCTCCATGCAACCTGTCAACTGCCACCCACTGAGCCTGATCATCCAACCAGTTTCTCAGTCATCCCAACCGTAATGGTCCAATGAAGACATTAATATGACTTTTCAAATTTCCAGAGCACCTTCCACTAGGGAATGTTTCATACAGTAATGCATGGAGGCTCCTGCTTGGTCTGTGACAATAGACATCATTACTACCATTTTGGAGCTCAAAGCGGAGACGTGGAATAAATTGATCTAGATCAAGAAAAGAATCTTAGGCAAGGTTAGGAACAGAACAGAGCAATTGGCTCCTCGTCACAGTCTTGCACACAACTCTCTTGCACACAAGTCGTGGGTGTCCTTCCACAGGAAGATTTCATCTGCACATATCTTATTTCACACAGAATACTGAGAGAGTCCAACACCAGTCAAAAAATCCCTGGTGTCTGCTCACAAATTTTGGAGTAATTTAAATCCCTAGTAATAAAAGCTGTATGCTGTTTATTTAGCCAGGCTCTTTTAATGTGCTGTTTGTTGTCTTGATAGTCTATGTCTTCTTCATATTGTAATCATATTAAAAGAGCATTCTTTTCCTGGAATAAAGAGGTAATGATTCACAAGAGGCATAATTATTCCATGCAGTGCAGGCAGGATGCTGCAGAAAGAGCCGTCTTCTTTATGCGTAAGAGGCTTTTATTGCAAGTGTTCTACACAGTAATTAAATTCCTTTGAATGAGGAGGCTTGATTGGATTTTCTTTGGTTTATTGGGAGGAGTCTGAAAAGCAAGGTATTTAGCTCAATCACTATATAATTTTGGCATCTGTTGGAGGTTAGGGAGAAAGGTTCAGGGTGTCTGATTCCCATTTCTCTTATGTGTTATGTTAGCTGAACTCCATTGAATTCAATTGAATTACACACTATCTGAATTTGTGTGAGAATCAAGATCAGAAACCTCTGGCAGGAAACAGCGGGAGACCTGAAAGTATGCTTTAAGAATCCAAATAATCTAAGGGAAAAAAGCCTTGCTAAAGGAAAGTTACTTGCAGTTGCAAAGGCAAGTGTCCAAAAGCGAGGAAACTTTACATTTACAGTTTTCCCTCAAATCTGATGTTTGCCTTATGGCGAGTCCAGTCTTGGCCCAAAGTGGGACAAAGTTTTGAAAGACAGCAGCAAGAAAATAAAAAGTCAGGCAATCATGTAACAAAAATCTGTTCTGTGGCTTAACACACAAGCCAGGATGCTGGCATGGCACAACTCTTTAGTATTTGAGTTGTCGAACTAAATCATGTTTGTTTAACATCAGCTACTGTACACAGCTGCCAAGTAGGTTTTGGGTTTTCTTTTTAAAGGAAAAGAGTAAAAATGTAAATTAAAAGGAAAACTCTGCTATATACAGCCTCAACATCTATTAGCAATGTGTTTTCTGTCTTACAGCAGGAATTACGGCATAAATTCTTGTTATTCAATAAGGCTGTGTCAGGAGGAGGGTGTTGCTCAGGCAGGGAAGATGGTGTGTGACACCCTGGGGGTAATTTCACCCTGCTTAGATGTCTCTGGAGGGAGCATACACATGATGAGGAAAGTGGACTTTTCAACAGCTCAGAGAAACATCATGGGGCAATGGAAGGCACTTCCCTAATCTAGGGGCTCCCTGCCTGCCAGGTGTTAACACCCAGTGGGAGTGGGAATCTCTAAAGTGCAGATTGCCAGTAGTGTTCTGTGAAGGCTGGGATCTTAGAGAGGTTTCCAGGAGCTCTGCTGGTATCCCAGTAGTGATAAACCTGGGGCTGAGTGAGAGGAGGGCTGGTTTTGCAGGGAAAACAGCAGTGGGAACGAGGAGGAAGACCTTTGATAACCTTTTGATGAAGACAAAAAAAAGGCAAATAGGAAGGAGCTTGAATATCGATGCCTGTTGGGCGGAGACTGGGGCTGGCCAGAGAAGGACAATGACATGAACTTGGAAGTGACTGACCTGGACCTAGGTCTGAGAAGAACTGGCAAAAAGAAGTCTGTACACTGCAAAACCTTAGGCTAGACCTGCCTCATGTCTGTCCATTAGACTCCAAACCCCATAGGGGAATATAATTCTCTAAAATAGGTTCTTAAGTGCAGAATTTGGTTTATTATGAGGAATCTGAAAAGCAAAGTATTTAGCTCCTACCTAGTGTGAAAAGTACAATGCAGAGGAGAGGAACCATAGCAATGGTCTGCAATCATCTGTGATGTCAGCATGCTTGTTCGAACCCAAGTCAGGTCCAAGTGACTCCCTTACATATATATGTCTGTGACAAACCTTGGGTGTACTCTTCAGTCATCCTTGCAGGATACCAGGCCTGATGGATGTCTGCAGCTGAGGATACTTCTGATTCATTCTAATTGCAGCCAGAATGCTTTGGTTTATTACCTTCACTCCCTCCTACTTGCTGCCAGGCATGAACCCAACAAACTTGTCCCATTGTCCTCCCCTGCCTCTTTCCTTTCAATCCTCTAGTCTTGGTGGTATTCAAGGAGCACCATGAGGCAAATGGGACCCTCCAGTCAGTGGCCCAGGACTTTACAGAGAATATGCTATAAGCTGACATGGATGACTCACATTAAGCCATAGTTTTCCTGTTGTGACTCTACTGACCTCTGAGTGGTTGTGCTTCCCTTCACTATTTATTAGTTCTTAGCAAGGATCCCTCTTGAAGCCAGCTATCTGTACAGAAAGTTGGAAATGGAGCTATATTTTTTGATCAAAAAAAGGGAATTTTGAAAAAAAATTCACAGGCTGAATTAAAATTGGTTTTGTTTTACTGATGTTTCTTTTGTGTCTGGACTTCCTGAGTAGAAACAGTTATACCTGAGGACTACCTGGTTGATTCTGCAAATGGGAAGCAGTACAGCCTGGATCCTGCCAATGCTGCCCCCGGTTGCATGGGTTCCATGTACACTGTGCGTCAGAGTCCTGCAGATGGACATCCTGCTGGAGGCTCCTCTTCCTCCTGTAGCCATCATCCTGCTCAAATGTCTTCAGGGGGGTCCTCATCTACTGGCTTGCGGCATCAGAATTCCAGCCCAACAAGGAACGGGGCCTGTCTTGAAGGAAATAGAAGTGGTAATAAAACATCTTCCATTTAGTGATGTGCTATGCTGGTGCTGTGCTGGAATCTCAACTCATTCCCAAATTCACAAGAAAATTAGTGAGATAGTTCTGTGATAGAATCCATCCAGACCACTCATGCTTCCACTTAGAAGGAGAAGTAATAACCCTGGTAAACACAAAATCAATCTGTTCATCATTAAATAAAAAGGTGAATGTTTCCCGAAGCTGTTATTATGTAAAGATATGTATTATGTATAATTGTGTGGCAATCACAACTGTTATTATCAACTTAGAGATATAAATATTAATATATAAAGCACTCCTCCTAATTGATTGATACTGCCTACTGGCAGGTTATTTGTATGACACCAGCTGTGTACAAGATATGATGCAGAACAAACCCAAATATTAGTGCCTACCTTAAAGCATTCTCGCAAAAGGTTTTGCTTCCAGTGTGTGGCCTATCCTGCCCCTTTAATCATGAACCAAGCCAGATTTTGCTTGAAAAAGACTCCTCAGCAGAACATATATTTTTTGAAATAATTTAGCTCACTGCTCAAGGCTCTTTTGTTCTTCAGGGAGCAAAGTCGTAAGAAGTTTATCTGCAAATGCAAGGGATGCCATGGGAACCACTGCATTCAATGACTCTTCTTTTTCCCTTTCTTTGTGTTTTGTCCAGTTACCCTGCTAGGACTTATATTTACTGGGTCAGTACCTCTGCCCATCAGCTATAGTTCCTATTAACCATGATTTTTTTCCTCTAGAAATTACCCGAGTTCATCAAACGGGTTAGCTAATTCACTGAGCTTCCCTTAACTTTGTTTGCCTTTTCCAAGTTCTCAATTAGCAGGTCTTTATCAGTAGTGATTCCAACAATGTCTTCACCTTTACTAATTATTCAAATTTCATTTATGCATTTTTCATTTTGAAGATAGATCTAACAAAGAAGTTGAATGTCTCAGCCATTTTTAAGTCATTAATTTCTTTCCTTCCTCATTTATTAATGGAGTCTACCATCAATCTAGTGTGGTTTTTTTAAAATCTTTATATATTTGCAGAAGCCTTTCTGGTTCCCCTAGTCCCTTTGTCTACCATTAGATCATTACATTGTCTTTTTCCCCTTGCATTGTCCCTGGAAACTTCAAGTGATTCTGCATATTCTTGCTTGGAAGCCATTCCAGAACCTCTTTCTTTTTCATTTTCTTAATCTTCACTTAATTCTTTCAGTACCCCTCACCTCCCCAACACCTGTATTATTTCTTGTTCCTGAACTTTTGCTATTTAATATTTTAGAGCATTATAAGTATTATAAGTATTTATCCTTGTATTCATTTGTTTATCTAAGTTTGCCTTCTTAAATGTTCAATGCCTACCCAAAACCACCATTCACTTTGCTATTATTTTCACACACTTGTTTCCCTGGTTTACCCCTGCATTAGTCTCTTATAGAGACCACTAGTAAGTGTTTGGTTCTCATTATTTTTTCCTTTACTTACAGAGTCAACTTTACTCAAAGCAAAGTAGATAGTATAGAAATGCACTACTGCAAACAAGTTGTAAAAGGTCATCACTAGGAAATGGTGGCCTCAGTTACAAAGAAAAGGAGATGAAAAGACACTTTCTTTCAGATCTTGTTCAGTGCCTCTCAGGCTGCCATAATCAGGTGCTGGAAGGACAAGAGGCTTAACGTGCCTCCTACTGCTTCCTTAGAGCCTCCTAGCAGAACTGGGAACCTTTCGTCAAGCTTTATAGTTGGCAGCTGTGAGAAGCCAAGACTTAACAATGTTGTTACTTACTTGCTTTAAAAATCTTTATCATTCTGCTTGATATCACTCATTATCTCTTTGTAGTATATGTGAAGAGCCAGGGCAGTTCAGAGCAAAGGTCTGTCTAGCCACACATCCTGTCTTCACCACGGAACAGCAGTGTGCCCCAAGGAAAGGGATAAATGCAGAGGTGGTGCACTACCCACTACCCTTTCTGCCTTCAGAAATTTGTGGCTCAAGGACTTCCTGAGCCAGAGGTGGTGGATCCATGTTTAGCAACCCTTCATAGAGTTTTCTTCCCTGAATCACTCAGTGGCTTATTGAATACTTTGTGCATTTCAGCACACAAAAAATTTCCATGCTTAAGAATGTGTTGTGTACAAAAAACTCGTGGTATCAGGGGATGGAAACTATGTTCAAGGGGCTGAAGCCTAAAATCAGAGCATCTTAAGCTTGTTCAGCTGCATTACTTTCCCTTCTTGTTTCTGATTCTGAATGTCACTGTTTCTCAGTCTCAGCCAATGCCTTGTGAAAGTTCCGCATGGTCCTGAGCATGAAGCTAAGCTTCAAGAGACAGCTCCATCTCTCTTTTTGTGACTTCCCACAAACCCACAGTCTGCAAAATGAAAGGCTGAAATATGGCACATATTTTCTCCAGAACTGAACCAACAAAAAAGTCATAGAGTGGTCATGCAACAGGCTTTGCAGGTTCCTGTATTTCTCTAGCTTAAAACTTACTGAAGCACTTTGAGGAGCAAAGAGGAAGAGATTGTGTTCGAACCAGGCATCCATGACATGTAATTCTAAAGCAGTTACAACTGACTTGAAACTGTTATATATAATACTTGGGGTTAATAGGACCCATCCCAAAACACCTTAGTATTGTTTTATGTGACAAGTATTTGACACTCGCATAGCCTCGATCCTCTGGAATCTCTGTGTCATTTGGCCAGCTCAACAGTAAAGGCTTCCTAAAACTGAAAGGTATACAGTGTACATAATTTAAATGGTTATGGATTCACTGATACTTTTGGTTTTTGTTTTTGTTTTTTTAATTTTTAACAATTTATTAGTCCTGGTATCACCCATTGCAGATTAGGATCTACCCATACAGAGATGAGTGTCCTGTCAAGGTCTCTAACAGAGGGAATAGCAATCCCCTGTGCTCCACCCATGTATGGCAGCACAAACAGCCGGTGCACATTTGTGCCACCACCATCCATCACGTTTCCTCTGATCCACTGAGCTGCTTTCTGGAGACTCCAGCAGAGTCTCCTGTAGTCCATGGCAGTAGCTGGGTCCTCTGAGACAGAGGAGAGCCACTTGCTCTCAGACACATCAGGCACTTTTCTGTGGCTGTAATGGGCAACACATGAGATCCATGAGGTCAAGGTGCTCACACAGTCATGACAATATCACTTCCAGCATTAAGACACTTTAATGTTTCCAGTCACAGACTGGTTTCACCTCTTACTCCATTTGCCATAGTGTCAGTTCTGTAACACTGCAATCTCACCAGAGTCCTACAAAGCATTTCCTGGTCCCACTTAAAATTAGAGACTGTATTTCTTCACAGCTATCATATTTTCACCCACCATGTTACTTCCGCTTCTACTGGCAATCCCAGACTTTTAAAATACAGATCTTTCTGCAATTGCCTTAATGCAATTACACTGGAGTTTGATTACTGCCTTCACAAAGTCTCTCTTGCAAAAGTCTTTGGAATCTGCATATGTGTTTTTCTTCTTTCTAGGCATAATTTATATGTTGCTGAATCATAAGTAAGCAAAGATGAGTAAGTGGTGCATGCCAGTCTCTGTTCTTATACTCTTCAGTTTGTATACTTACAAGGCAGGGATGGGCAGGACTCATTAAAAAGAGGAAGAATTTATCTCTGAAACCTCAAACCAATCCTATTTATTTAGGGATAGTTATGAAAAGTATCTTGCCTTATTTATCATGGTGAGCAAATATAATGGAAAAAACCATAATCATAAAACATATCTCAGCGCATAGCAGAACATGTCTTTCAAGTGGAATGGATGAGATTAAACCTCAAAGCTCTCATTAATGCGATTGGAAGCTTGATGCCTAATTCTCCTTGATTATGCTAAAAAATTCAGAAAAAAAAATAAAAAAGATCTCATTTCAGAAAGCCAGTTGGGGCTGCTAACAGATAAACATGCACTTTCCTGTCATCATTTGCCAAGCTGAAGCTTTTAAATCAGGGAAGGAATAGTCAAGGACATCATAAACCTTTCCAAGCCTGCTTACATAACAGACAAAGCCTTTATCCCAAGTATGAAGAATTGTGTGTTCAACCACAATATAATAACCTTAACCTTGCCCTGTAGCTTGTTATTTTTATGTAAATTTTATTATCCAATATTAGCAGTTAATTATTATCACCTGAGGGTCTTTGTTAAAGAGGCAATTTTGCTTGTTAATGCATATATTTCCTGAAAACGTTTGGGGGCACAGGGTTAGAAATCTCTGTTTTTCCAGAATAATGCTGCAAGCACCTTGTGGGAGCTAGATCCAGCACATCCCCAAGGCAAAGGAGCTGCTGATGGCATTGTGAGCCTCACTGTTGGGTACCATTTCTTCAGCAAATAGAGCTTGCCTGCTAATTTTTTAGGATATTTACAGTCTGAAAGTTTTGGTGCTTTCAGGTGAGCTGCCTTTTTTTTTCCCCCACTACAAAAGAGAGGCAAAGTAAGAAAAGGCCAAATAAATATTTAACGCCCATGGCCACATCTCGTGCAGCCGGATACTGGGCTGCGTCTGCAGCGGCTGGAGGAGCACCTGCAATGTTTCATCCCCAGACGGTGTGTGCCATGCTGTAAGTGGGAGCAGCTGCTACCCTGGTGGGACAGGGACTCTTCTCCGATGCACTGCAAGGCTGAGGACACCAGCCAGGTGGTGCTTGACATGTCCTGCAAATGCTGGCCAATGCAAATGGACGCGTTAAACCCAATCTTCTTTGCAGAGCTCTCTGCTGACCATGGCTCATCAACCCCCCCCCAGTGCTCATAAATATCCTGTAATTGTGTTGTCCCAGATGCCTGCTTTTCTGATACCTCTCCTCCCGCTTGGCGTGCCATAGATTTTTAGAAAAGTGTCTTCTACAAAGCCTTCCTTTTGTCATTTTTTATAGTCTGAGGTGGTTTGTTTTTAAAATAACTCCCATTTCTCTGCGCCTTTGAGGGTCTGCTACTTCTGCTTAGTTTCAGTAGATCTGCTGCTCCTTATTATCTGCTCCAGTGCAGTCAGAGAGAACCTTTTAAAATTTCATTCCCACCCCCTTCCCTTGAGGCAAAGAAATCATTTAGGCCTGCAGCAATATTAAAGTTCATCTGTCACTCCCCTTCCACTCTTATCTATCAATGACTGTACTCCCTCTGGGCTCTGTTTGTTTGCCAAGAACATATTTAGGGAGTCTGTTATTTGTCTTTCCTTCTTTTGCAGGTTTAACGCCATCTTAGCATTTTATTTCCTTGTCACACCTCTGCAGCCATTTGGGTGATGGCTCTCTCTTCATTCTCCTTCTCAGGAAGGTCCTGAGGTGAGTGGCAGAGAAAAGCCTGTGTGGAGTGAAAACACAGACCAAGCCAGGCCACGTCTTTCTCTCAGCTTCACTTGGCTTTGGCCACTGATGTGGTAATTCCAGCTGTTTCTGTGCAGGCAATGGTCTCAAGTGGGATGCCCAGAGACTTTCCTCTGCAGAGGAACCTCTTCACTCTTCTTCCCCAATATCCTTGAGGCAGGAGGGGAAAGTACTTCCCTCTGATTACCTAAATTTCCATATCCCATTCCATTAATTTGACAAATTTTTGCCACCTGTCAAAAACAGGAAATTGGATTTGACCTAGATTATGATCTCTAAAAATAATTATTGGTCGCAAGCACTCCCATCTCTTTGTAATCTGAGTATTCATTATCATCTTGATTAATTCTGATGACAGGATGGCATAGGATACCCTGGAGACATGAGACTTCCTCATTTATCTAATTCTTAGGTTAAGTGTGAACATCTTCAGATAAGAAAAAATGTATAGCACTTGCCCCACTGCCATCAAACACTTTCATGCTTAATATAGTCTTTTAGCAAACTGGTGGTATTGAAACAAACCCTGTGCCTTTGTGTAGACATGAAATGATCTATTTTCTTTTGTAAATAGAGAAATTACACTCAAGTGGGTAAACTAAAATGTTAAAAAATCCAAATAAATTAAGCAGCAAAATAAATTCTAAAATATATGGAAAACCAGATTGTTTCCAAACTCACCAGCTACAAATTGATATTTGGCCACAAACTGGTGGTATCCCAGTTCTATTAATAACATTTAAAGATAGCCCCTTTCACAAAAGTAAAATAACTCATCCTAATTCATGAGAAAGCAGGGGATAATCCAGGACTTGATACTAGGTAGGTAAATAAAGTAAAAAAATATTTGAAGAATTAATATCAACACATAATTCTTGGTTTAATATTATTATGTTATACCTCAGGTGGGGATTTGAAAGGGTTATCTTCACCTGCTAGGGCCTGGAAGAGTTCTAGCCATGTAGTCTCTTTAGAAAGCTCATTTATGTATTTGTCTTTAAGAAATCAGATTTGTGCTATTGATTGTTAGATTGTGAAGGAATGAACAGATTCCTCCTGTCATTTCAACCTTCTGTTTTCCTCCCCCTTCCTTTCATTACAGGTACTTCCAATACCTGTGAAGGCTCCCAGCTGCACTCAAGTCTCTTTGCTACCCTTTGCCCTTTCCTGATATTGTATTTCTGGAAGGATCAGGTTGCAGGCAAGAGTCACTGAGCTCCAGGCTGCTCTTTTATGCCCCGAGTGAAATGCAGGATAAGCCCTCTGGGCTTTCCTTACGTTTATACAAATTAAAGGGAAAAAATGGGATTCTCAGTAGTGGCACGACATCTCCCCTGACCAGGTTATGGCAGTAGCATAGAAACTCCTGCAATACTTTGCACACAGTCAAACGTTTGTCTACTCCCTCTATTTTCCACCTAGTTTGCAAAAGCCTGTTTTTCTCCCTGACCTTCGGTTTGAGGTGCTGTAGTGCCCAATACCTTCACACATCAGCCAGCATCCAAACCACCGACAGATCATGAAGGGGAGAAATACTCTCTCCTCTATCTCTCAGACAAGTTTCAGTTCTCCCGCTTGTCCCTGACAAAGTTCCTAAATGTTACTGATGATCCAGGGGTTGGCCAAGATTACCCTGTTCATTTTACACTCTTTGTCTTCATTGTTTCATGCCAAAGGCTCCAGATGGTGTCTGTACCATTGTGTATTGCATTTATTTTGTGAGCAGAGCCCAGAGTCGCCTGAGTCCATATGAACCCCAGTCCTTGCTGTCTAATTAAAAAGACCTGCGGCTATTCCTTGTCCTTTATATCCAGAACAGTGACTTAGCAAATGAGAGTGCAATTATCATGATATTTACATTCCATCCCATTATGAAGCCCATCAACCAGATTTGCAAATTCATAGCACTACTGCTTTCTGGAGTTCATCCTGAGTAACTGCAAAATATACCTCATTACATTATACTGTGAGATGAGCATAGTGGCAAGAAAAAAAGGGCCAATATGCACATAAAACCATTATTGGGCATATACGGGCAAAGTCTCAGCTAATGTAAATCAGCAAAGCTCTGTTGAAGTCAATGAAATGACAACCTACATAAGCCACAAACCCAGCCCAGTACATTTGCTCACATGCATTAGGATCATGTTTTGAGTCACGCATGAGGATTCTTACACATCTAGCCTGTTTCTATAAGTTCAGTACTTCTCTGGAAAGCTCATCCCTTCTCTCCTCAGCAGTTCTGATTGTCTCTTGTCTACCTGGGGGCTTCTCCAGGCTCCAGTTTAGGTACCTGTGGTCTCCCTCTACCTGCACTCTTCTGTTTCATTTCTAGTCTTCTGTAGTGTTTGCTTGCTTACCATTTGCACATCTCTCATTAAAAACTGGGCCTTGACAGAAAGAGAAGAGCAGATGTGGGCAAGTAACGTTTTATACATCTGTATGCTGCTGCTTGCTAAGGCAAAGTTTGCTTGATGTGGATATAAATAAATGGAAAGAGCTTTCCTGTAACCTAGCATAGTATAGTTCTCGTCATAGTGAAGCAGCATAAATGAGGGTACAAATTATATTGAGGTGGAGGTTCAGATTTATAATTCTGCAGAGACTAAGAATAAAAACATAAATGCACTTTCATTCCAATGTGCCTTTATTCACTTGATTTAGAGCTACAGCAAGCTGAAGTGACCTTAAATCATCCAGGGCTTATACCATTAAAAAGTCACATGTGCAATGTTCATCTTCACATGTTTTAGTAACTTTCCAAATCAGCATTCATTGGAGACCATCAGCTTTGTGAGAGACTAAGATTAGGAGGATATGGACTGGAAACCTTCCTTTACGCTGTAAGTCTGGATATCTGAATGCAAAGGAAAAAAACCTATTTGCTAAATCCTGATTTTATCTTCTAGCCTTTGCATTCAATGGCAAACTCCTTTGTTTAGTGCTGAAGAATTTTCTCTCCAGGTGGGAGGGTAGCCTCTTCTTGAGCCAAGATCCCTGCTGCTTGAAGATCAGACAGCAGGGGCAGCTCAGTTTAAGAGCCTGGCAGCTGGTACATTTTCCTTCCCCGGCAGGAACTTGAGGGTTTCATGTTTTTTAACGCAATTCGCCAGCTGGGATTGCGTTTTCTGATAAGCAGTCAGATTGGAAACCACTCCATGTCCCTTTTCTTCTTACTCCACCATCTCAGGCTGATATTTGCACACTCAGGTCTAACATCCAATGCCACAGTGGGGCTACCACACCCCTGCATACTCACAAACCCAGGAAACTGCTTTGTGCCATTGTAATCCACTGCTGTGGGCTTTTTTGTACCAATAGCCTCGAGTCCTTCACCAGAACAAGATGCAGCTCGACCATCAAGCAAGAATCCTTTGACCTGGACGGTGGATGATGTGGTTTGGTTTGTGAAGGATGCAGACCCCCACGCTTTAGGTCCCCACGTGGAGCTCTTCAGAAAACACGTATGTAGAAGGCTGCCCTTACCATTTCTGGTAATTTAAGTCCCAAGAGATAGCCAGTGCATGTCTCACATATAGTCTCAGCTGCCTTTGGCTGCTACAGGCAGTGTTTGTGCTCAATCAGGTTGAACACAGGGCCCTGTGAGGGTGGCTCTCTTGGGGACTTGTGCTGAGGAAAATTCACTTATCCCTTGAAAAGGTAGTCAAACACTGGAATGGGCTTCCTGGAGAGGTGGCCAATGCCCCAACCCTGTCAGTGTTAAAGAGGCTTTTGGAAAGTACCCTTAATAACATGTTGTAATGTGGTCAGCCCTGAATTGCTCAGGCAATTGGACTAGATGTAGGCTCCTTCCAACTGAAACAGTCCTATTCTGTGCTATTCTATGATATACTATGCTATTCTATCCATTTATCCTTCAATGGGGAGACTCTAACAGTGTCTTTATAAAATGTTCACTATTTGTTCCCAGCTACCAGAGCATAAATTGTTTCTATGCCAAGCCTACAAAGAAAGAAAGCACTGAGGATCTGGTGCTCATTTTTCATTGTCAGATTGGCACAAAAACCCCCTCATCTCAATGACAATTTTTTTCACAGGATATCTATGATTCTTCTCTGAAGACCATTATTTATGTGTCTCCAGATATTTAGCAGGAGAAACCTAAAACAACCAAGCTTTTAATCCTTTTCCCCTCAGTATTATGTAACTACATAACCAAATTTAACAGACCTGCTGACTCACTGGAGGATATGGTAGTTGCTTTTGTGATGCAATCTCCAGTGATGGAAATTATATTATTCATAATTAGTAAAGAGGAAGACTGTAAACTCGTCTGATCTGAAATTTCTTGTTCTGCTGCTGCCCATGAAGTTGGCACTAGTGTATCTAGTAGCATCTTTGGCCTTCTCCATCTGTCTTTGATCAATTCAGTCTGACTATGAGAAATGGATTTTATTGTAAAAGTGACTTGTTTGTGTTCAGCTGGAGGTCATAACTTTGAATCTAAGTGCCTGGACCTGGGTCTAAATGAGAGTTGCTTCCCAACCCTGAGTCCTGAACAGCACCCCAGGTGCTGCAAAGCAAACGAGAGGGTTTGGAGACTAGATCTCACTCCTTGCCATGTGCCAGCAACAATAGGTAGGAATGTGGGGCCACAGACAACACCTGAGGGAGACAAATTATGGACTTTCAGCTACACTCTGGATGCAGGATTTCCAAATACTGAGGAGAGGAGGTGACTGAGGAGCAGATGAAAATGAAGATGAACACAGGCCTTAGTATATGCTTACCCTAAGAAGGTATTGAGGTCATCTGCCATTCTGTAGACAGACCTGTGGCATGAGAGCAACAGCAGGCACAGTGGTGTTAGGGCCAAATCTGCAAGTACGGGTCAGGTGCTGGCCTACTTTTCCTGCTTTCTGCAGAGAATTCAGATCTGCCTTCTAAGTTGACAATGAAAATATGGCCTATTTTGGTCATGTGGGCAACCAAGCAGATAAACAAGCCACCTTCAGATTTGAAGTAACTTGCTTTAGAATGAGTTTCTGAGAGTACCAGAAGGGGCTGTGCATCATGCAAGGCAGAAAGATGTACATCCCAAAGAAAAAAAAACACCAAACATTTAAAGTTTGTCTTGTAAATATGAAGAGTGCAAAAGCACTAGTTTTTTCTAGTTTCCACTTGTAGCAAAGTATGGCACAACATGCTTTTATGTAGCAGCAGGGTAGTGGCACACTACAGGCAATCATGGGCCAGCTGCACTAGAGCATGCCATGATACTGCAGCTGCTCTATGACTGAAGAGATCAAGCTAAATTACCACTAAAGACTGTCCCTGTCATCCTTTGCTGCACACCTAGCACCCATAGGCTCTACTTATCATTGGTTTCCTGGTAAAATATGCCACAGGTGTGAGAACCTGGGTATGATTGCCACACAACTCATTTCAATTACACCTTTGAGTTATATATGTCCCTGCAAATTTTCAGCCTTCAAACCTCATCTGGATTAGCACAAAGACCCCAGGGGTGAGAGACAAGTGATTAGTCCATTAACCTCAGCCATATCTTCCTGTATGTTCAATATTTATGTGAAGAGGGTGCATAATTTACTTAGAAGCACTTACTGTCATTGACAAGGCCCAGCTATTGCCCGAAATAGTTGCATTGGCAATCAACTCATCTGAGTTATGACACTGGTAGGGGGAGCCTGGTGGGACCAGCAGGAAGAAAAGGCTGGAGGCTGGAGGATGTATCCTGCATGCAGGCAGTATGCTTTCCCACTGCTCTATTAGGCTATTTGGGTATTGACCTCAGTCCCCAGAGCCAGCTTTTCCTACATACAGCCCACATCCTTCACTGGCACAACAGGTGCTGCAGGATGATCTGTCTCTGTCTCTGCTCTTTCCACCAGGAGCAGAAGCTTTTCTACTTGCCAAGACACCCAAGCAGCTCTGTCACTGGTAGCTCCTGAGAATGTCTACCAGAGACTGAGAAACGTCCTACTAGCTCCCCTCCACTGTTCCCTGCTCCCTCACCATGTCTGTGTACCAAGGAGAGCCAAGCTCGTTGATGACAGAGCTTTTGGTCTCATGGAAAGGAGCCATCGGCCTGGCCAGGGACCTTGTAGCAGCACTGTGCGCCATGCAGCGCTCTATCAGCAGGAAAGAGTTGGTAGAAAGATTAGGGAAGGGAAATGGCGAAGTGGAAAGAGTTACACTGGGAATTATCAGGTAGAAAACTCAGGCTGGAAGGGATTGAAGGAATGTTATTGTCTGACAGTTTAATTATGGCCAGTGATTGGCAAATGCATACCTGAAGGGGACAAAAAACTTTGAGTTTAACATATTCGAATAGCTACCTATCTCTGACAGTGCTAGACATTAGATTTATGAGCACGTGTCTTTCTCCAGATCTTGATCACAAGTGTCTGAGCACTGACCACTGAGCTACCACTTCGTGCGCTCCTGTTGCAGGTGGTGGCCTTACCAGGGCTGGTGTCTGTTCATGACTCTGTAGAATACCAAAGAAGGGAAAGACATGTCTATATCTATATCCCAAGCATGATATAGATCCTGAAATCTTTGATTTTACTTAGATTTAAGTGCTTAAACACCCATGAAGGTGGGTACTTTCACCCTACTAAAAGAGAAAGAGGTGTCCCTCAATCTGGGGGACATCCACCACTGGCTGCAATTCTCGTTTGCATGGCATAGAGCTTGTTTAGGGGCTACTCTGCTTTTTGAACAATATCCTCAGAACAAGTGCTGCAAGAGGCCAGCACAAACACAGTAATACTCATGCAGGAGGAAACTATATGTTCATATCCACGTTATCATGATTTCACAGCTCATATGTTTTCTGTGTCCGTTGTCTTGCAGTGATGCCGTGGAATGTTGATGCTAAAAAATACCTCAGGAGCAGTTAATTGGGGGTGAGATAAGGAAAGGGTTTAATTGTGCCAAGGCAATAGATGTTACAAGACACGTGCACCGTCTGTGGTTGAGATGTTACATTTTATAATACCGTCCATCCAATCCCAAGTGTGTCCACCCTGTAGCCTTTGCTCTGGTCTGCCCCAGGTCCACCCCCTTAGAATGGAGTCTGGGGTGTATTTCGGGACCACCTTTTCATCACCATCACCATCTTCAGAGCACAAAGGGTACACAGTCACCTAGTTCTTGACTCTGCTCTGTTGTTCAGGCCTATGGGTGTTCTCTAAACAGTATAGGCCTTGCCTTGACAAGAGACTAAACATTGCCACTGAATTCAGGGGTAGATTTGATATGGGGAGCATAGAATGGGGTAAGAGGGTTAAGGAATGTGTAAACTACTTGTACTACAGGGAAAGGGAGTGAGGGCTGCTGCTTTTAAACTCTACTTCTACTACTTATAAAACTTACAAAAATTAGGAAAATAAAAAACTAATAGGGGCTTAAGGCATCAGCAGGAACATGATGATGACCTCCCGCAATATTCTGACTTGCAGTGTTCCAGATCTCAATGCATGTGAAACAAGCTAATTGCACTGAAGGCACTGTATTTTACCAGCTCCTAACCTGGCTCAAGATCTTCTGGTGGGGCTATTGCAGATGTGGGGACCATGCTATCAAATTCTTCTTTTTAAAATTATTTTTAAAAGGGCTGACACAGTAATACTGTAAAGAAGTCAAGCCAAGAATCTGCACAGAGACATGGCTAATATGGGATATTTAATTGGATATAAATGCTCCCTTGGGCATACTGTTGTCATCCAGTTTAATTTTGACCCCTACGCAGTAATAATAATGGAAATAATAAAATGCTGAACTCAACATCTAGAAACAGCTGTCTCTGCACCTAAACCTCAACAGTGTTTTCACCCTATAGCACCACAGTTAGAGGAGATCTTTTTTTATTTCTTATGCAAACAGTAATTATACATAACACTTATTCTTACTTTACCTTAGCTTCCTTAAGATAATGGGAAAGAGAGGGAAGGTGAAGAGGGCTTCTATTATGGATAGAGTGGGGGTTGCAAAATGAAGACCATTAATTGATTGAGTTAATCAGAAAGTGACCTTAACTGCTCATCAGCTAAATCACCTACTGAATGGAATAATAATGATCAGGGCAAATTAGGATCCATAGTATTGCTTAATAAGTAGACAATGGATTACAGTGGAAAGATCTGACCATCAAAATCACAGAATACAATATATATAGCATTAGAGTGTGTGTATATGTGTGTATGCATATGTATGCATACACTTGTGATGTTTTAGCTCTGATGGTCCAAGTATGTAAGCGTGCTGGAGACCATGGGGAAGGTAAGTACTTTTTAGCAGATCCACTAATATAGTCAAGAAAAAAGAGAGACTGGGTCCAAGGAGGGACAGTATAGCTGAAAGCTTCTGTGTTCTACAGTTCATAGTGAAAGAGAACTACGTGTGAACTACTCTGTGCACTATGGCTACCTTGTGCTCAGTACAGTACTTTGTAATTTCACAAGGTTGTCAAGCCAACAGGTCTGGGGTAAACAACTGAATTTGGTGGCAATTTCATCCATTTACATGGGAGTTAAATTAAAATGTAACAAATTTTATTAATAAATGCAATGAAATAAGCAAATTACTGCTCTTTTCAATTTTAGAAAAGAATCCATATATATATATGGCATATATATATGTGGCATATATATATATAGTGTGTACATGTATATACACACCTCACTGGATATAAGTGTATTGGAGATATGTGAAACATGCAGATAACAAGGGACAAAGCTGGAACTGAGATCGAGAGGTGTGCTGTCAGCAGTTCCCTGACCACATCCCTCTCTCTCCATCACTCATTCCTTTCTCTCTAGGCTTTTCTAAGGACTGGGTTTAGAGCAACCCTGATTTTTAAAAAAATCTCCCTTTTAGTTGCAAAATAATTGAAAACCTAGAAAAACCTAAAGTTCCTTGGAGAATAAAAAGTAGTATTTAATTAAACTCTCTTTTACATCTTCCTTCTAGCATACTTCAGATTTCAATTTTTTAAATGAAATTTCAAAATGCATGGCATTTCAGCTACCCCTAAAAGACATGCTGTTACTAATTCACCTTGTTTAATGTGTCAGAATGCAGTGGGGGAAAGGACGTTAACACATTTGATTCTCTTTCTCTCTTTTGAAACCAGGAGATTGATGGCAATGCTTTGTTACTTCTGAAAAGCGACATGATCATGAAATACCTAGGGCTGAAACTGGGACCTGCGCTGAAACTGTGTTACCACATTGATAAGCTCAAGCAAGCCAAGTTCTAACAATTTCTTGAACAACAGAATCTGAGCTAAACCTAGATGGAAAACTAAAGGTAACATATTGCCTTACAGAAATGCATTCATTTGCAGATTGCTTTTCCCTCTTTTTTAACAAAGACTTGGTCTTTTTTAACATTTGTGCATTTTCACCTGTTTTTAATCCAATGGGATCTTTTGTGCTGCTTTGTGTTAATAATATGCCAAAAATTATATAATTACAATAATTATTTTGTATCATCGATATTATTATGATTATAGTAAGTCCTATTTTTGTAATCAGAAGTGGAAAATCAAAACCAAACATAGTTACAACATATGCTGAGGACTGCCAAAAGACAAATGAAATGTTCCTGACTTGCCATGGTTCCACCTCCTCGGAGTAACCGCTGACCTGCATCGGCTGGGCACCAGCTACACTGTCCTTACTCAAGAACTGAAAAAGTGCAGCACTTGGTCACTTACTGTCTGATGGGAGCTGTCTTGCACTATCTGAAAAACTTGAATTATTCACTTTAAAAAAAAAAATTAAAAAATTTAAAAAAAATAAAAAGAGAAAAAAGACAGAAAAGAGAGTTTACAAAAAAATTAAGAAAGAAAAAAAATAGCGCGGGAAAGGTTTTTTTCCCAGCTAAGGTATTTTTCCCCGCTAGAGGGAGCAGCCCTAGCAAACTTGTGGCTGGAGCTATGATGCCGTTCTGTCTGATGAGCTTTGACCACCATGACTCTCAAAGCGAGCACATCCGTAAGTACCGCCAAGGAATCACAGACTCCCAGCAGGATAAGCGCGTTACCATCTACAGATAATTAATTCAAGAAAAACCCAAATGCAGAGAGTGTTTCTGACAGGATGTTTCCCGTTACACCAAACAGGGGGTGGACAGCTCCCACGGTGTCTGGCATGCACAGCTGTCAGCTCCCTTCCCCTAGCCGTTACAATCTGGCACACAGTTTGTGGCACTCTAAGAAAAAATTTCTGGGCAGCATTTCTGGGTTTTCGTTTGCACTGTGAAAAAGAGAGGGAGGCAGGTGGGAGTGTTCCTCATGAGGACCTGAGCACATCTCTGCAGTTTGCAATAATGGTCAAGTCCAGCACAGATGCTGTAGGGTTGGTTTCTGATTGTACAGTACACAGTACACAGATAGATGTGCTGGGTTTTATGTCTCAAGTGAATTAAAAATTCACTTCTGCCTCTTACACAAATATAAAAGGTGCCCCTTGATACTCCACGTAGTCCGGGGAGAGAACAGGTCTCAAGCTGAGGAAGTAATCTGTGGAATGGGTATGTTCTTGTTTTCATCTAAAAGAAGGACTACAAGGGGACACATCTATATAGTTTAAACCCTTAGTGCATGACAAGGAGAGGCAGCAAGCGTTTTTAAGTCATGCAGGTGATTTTAGAGCTAGTTGGCTCAGCTGACTTGAGAAATGGGGTCCTGATAATACACAAGACATCATGCTATTTGACCCTGTTTATGTAGAAAAGAATGTTACCAAAAATACCTCTTAGAATAAAATTCAACTTGATGCATGTTGCTAGACTAGAACTCCTACCTATTCAAGGCCTAATCCTGAAAATCCTTAAAAATAGGAGAAACCATATCCTATAAGACTTTCACTAAATTCTTGGGGACTACTCCCCCAAATTAAAGAAGTTGTCATAAATTCACAGGATTGTGTCTTTACAGGACTGATCAGCTTTCAGCAAATCCTGTCTGCATGCCAAAACACTCTTAATAGGAATAGCTGAACAATTGTGTTAATTGAAAAGTCATATACTGTTGAGTTATATAATATATGGAACCCTAAATGTGCCAATGATTGGAACACAACACTCATCCAACATCATTTTGTGTTTGGGCTATAAAGAATGGAAATTCAGTCAGCTATCTGGTTGAGGCAGAGGTGACTTTTCATCAACATCAAACTTGTACAGTTGATTCTTCACTCTTACATTTTTTTTAAAAAATGGGGGGTTTCCCAAAAAGATTCCCCAAATACGTAAAAATCTTGCTGTATTAGTAATATCACCTTCAGAGAGTTCTCAGACAATCTTTTCCTTTTTATTTCCCTGCAATTTTGAACTTAGTTAACCTCTGTGCTTTTTCAAAAGGTGATTTTAATTCCTCCACTTTACACTCCATCTTGCTGTAATATATCAATAGTCAGGGCTGGTTAGACTTTATCAGATGGTTTCAGTGCTGGAAAATCCCACTTTGTCAAAATCAAAACTCTTCATAAAAGCATGTCACTTTCTAACATTAAATTCTATTTAACTGAAACTACAGCTTTCAGTAATGTCAAAACATCATTTTGACATTTTGGAAGTAGAACATTTGTGTTTGAAGAAGAGTTTTGCATTTTTTTGTCTTTTCCTGGAGAATCTGTAGCCTCACATTTTATTCTGAGAGCGGGAAAAAAAAAGCCATCCCAGAACTAGGCTTCTGTGAATAAGAATCCTTCCCATTCTGTTCTGTGTCTCACCCTTCCTTCCATCCCCCCACCCGCCTCCAGACACTACAGCCAAGAGGGCTGATAATACCAATGCAGTACTAATAGACTCCATGGTGGTGATGATGTTCATACATATGATTCAATATGCTGAAATAGTTTTCATGTATGTATCTGATGTGCACAGTCAGTGGTGCTATCTCATTTGATATGACACTTGTAGGTACGTCAGGACTGCCCAGGCCATGAGATTTAATGTTCTGTTTTTCACAGGGGAGGCAGTAAGAGGATTCATTTTACATGTAAGTAATGCTTGTAACAAGAATTCTTCTTTGTATGGTGGTTTGGGTTTTTTGGCTTTTTTTTCACTGAGAGGCAATTAGGAGACACACCTTACTGCAGTAATATTGCAATTGTAAATAATTTTTCTCTTTCAAGTCTTATTAGTGAAGGTAGTTAAGCAGTTCTGCTGTGCTGAGGGTGTCAGGCCTTTTCCTCAGAACAGGCGCTGAAGAACCAGAACATGCATGTCAGCTGCTTCTCCATTGACTGCTGCTCTAGACACCACTTGTACAAATTACTTCACTTGCTATTCCTTTTCCAGCTCTTGCTTCAGGCTGTAGCCAACCCAGTTGTTCCCAACAGGTGGGTGGATGTGTGATACCTTTAAAAGCAACACATGTGCCTCTTTTTTACTTCTAAGCACTCATAGCTGGATCAAAAGACACTTTGGTTGCTTCAGGCAGCTTCAACTGTTTGTGAGCATTCACTATTTTTAAAAAAAAAAGAAGCAAGCAGGCAAAGTCCAAGGACTTGGGGACCACTTCTCCCTTGCTGAAATGACAGTTACAAGGTGTTGGGAGCACAGAGACAGTCCTCCCTGGCAGACCATCTTCTTGCATCTAGCATGGCTGATCAGCTCAGCATCAGCTGCCAACACAGGCCACCCACATTGCTTTCCCATCCACCTGACATCACAGTCTCTTCTTGCACCAGCAAATGCCTCCTTTCCTAGCCAGACCTAACTGAGTTTCAAGAAATGCCTCTGGGAATACCTCCACTTCTCAGAGCCCACTGTCTTGCTTGGCAGGCTGAGGAGTGCAGTAGCCTTTGCAGCATTAGCAGCTTCACACTGTGTGATTAATGCGGGCAGGTGCCCTTGGGACTGGTATGTAAAGCATCACCCTGGGCTGTTATTACCCTTAATGATTGCTGAATTTCTATAGGTTGTCAGCAGTCTTCATGAGTTACACTTCCTTCCTTCTTAAAGAATGGATGGCTGCAAGAGATTAAATAGAGCATTATTAGCAAAACCAGCAACAATTAGCAAAACAACAAGAAAATGGCTGATGAAGTTTCTGTGTTGGATCAGCAACAGGAGCACACACCATCCTCCGAAGCCCAGCCATGAGTGCAGCAGTTGTGGATGGCCTTTCCTCTTGCCCTGGCACAGCCATCCCATGGTCCCTTCCCGCCCATGGGGTGCAGCACCCTCCCATCCCTCGCTGTGCAGTCTGGGGGCTGCACAAGCTCAGGGAGGAATCTGTCGGCTCTTACCTTCCCAAAACATACCCAAAACCTTCAGTTAATTAGTTAGTGCCTTCTCTCTCTTTTCATTTGAATGGTTTCTATTTGAAAAAAGACAACAGGAGGGTGATTCCCCAGGTCCTTCCAGGAATGACCCCTCAGCTCACCACATGAAGGAGCATCTCCAGGGTCAGACATCCACCCAGGTATAACTGGTCCTCTGCTGGCACAGGAGAGGGAGGTAAGAATTAAATGCCCCTTTTTTATTAATTAAAATTAAATGCTTTTCAGGCACTTCCCCTCTCCGGAATGCAGACTCCCTCCCCAGAGCCAGTTGGTTGGCTCTTCCCCAAGCATCAAGGAGGGAGGCAGAGAAGGTGCCCAAAAGCACTGCCTGCTGCTGGTTCATTCTAGCAAGGCAGCAGGTATGGAAGGACCAAAACCAGCTGCTACCCTGGTTTGAAACTGGTTTTGCTGGAAAGAGGTGTTGTGCCCTGGGATTTGGTCTGAGGGGTTTTGCTGTCCCAAATTCAAACACCTTTGTCAGAGAAAGCAGGCAAGTTCTTGCACACATTGCCTCTGATACCTTGCAGTATTTGCATGCTGTTCTCCAATCCGTGCTCCCTTCACGGGCAGTTGGAAATCGATTCCCTTGGAAATCTAGAATTCTGCTCAAAAAAAAATCACTTTTATTCACTGCCAGGAGTTAAACATTATGGAAACACGTCTGCTAACAATTTGTTTTGCGTAATTTGTACTAATGCTAATAGGCAACAGCTGCAGCACTTCCTGTTGTAAATTCTTTTGTGGTTGCAGTGGAATTATCACATCTGTACTTTACAAATCTGATAGATTCGAGCACAGCTCTCTCATTCTGGCCCCAGCTCCAGCAAATCCCTATGCCTCAGAAGTACGGCTACACAAACAAGTATTTATAGTCTCTGTCTCCCTTTGTTCCCAAAGCCTCCACTCCTCACAAGTACCTGGAGCAAGAGGGATTGGAGGAGTGGAGGGAAGGAAGAGATGTGGTAGCCTGGGGGTCAGCCAGTGCATATATAGTGTGGTTGAAGTGGATTGTTTTCAGCAGAGACATCATTGACCAGCCAGGTTTATTGCAGTTCAGGCAGACAGGTTTTGGTCAAAGGCTAAGTACAGGAGAAATGTGATTTATTAAAGAAAAAGAAAGAAATATGGGTATGCAATATACTGCCACCATAAGACTTAAGCAGAAACCCAAGAATCTTTCAACTGTAATCTAAAGAAAAATGTTTCCCTCACTCAAGATGCTAAATAAAGCATATTAGGCCAAAACCAGATCCCACTGAGGTCCACATAAGTTATTCTATTGAATTCATAAGACTGGGGCTTGGCTCATAAACCAGGTCAAGCTTCAGCCATGTCCCATAGTAACTAGAGCCTAACAAGGTATTTCATCCTCCCTTACAAAGGGTGGAGACAGCCTCCGCTGGCCAGCCCACTCTCCCCTGCTCCCAGGAGAGCTGCTAGCTTCCTGGTAGAGAGTTCTTCCAGCTGCACCTCTACCTGATCCCAACACCTTCTCCAGTTAGCTTTGCGTTTTAGCTAAGAGT